ATTAATATAATATAATACTATACACATTCAAAATTCCTCAAAATACCCACCTCCTTCCCACCCCCCAACCCCTTTAAAACAGACACACCTTCAATAAGATTAGGCAGTGGTTCAAAAGGTGGACGCACATTATCAGGATCTTGTGATACACTATATTGTATTAAACTTTGGGGATGTTTTCTTGTTCTAGACTGGCATCAAGTCCTGGGTATTGGTTGGCCTGGAATGCAAGATCGTCCAGCACAGTTTTGGGGACGTTGAAAAGGTGTCGGCTTACGTCATGACGGGGTGCCCAGGTTGAGAGAGTTCTTTCTGATGAATGACGTCATCAGCAATGCCCGTTTGTGGAGACGGTGAGGGTTAATGAGCTGGCATCTGGTTTGTACAGGACACATGTCTGTTACTGGTTCTAGAGAAAAAAATAGAGAAAGAAAATATTCGAGTAAAAATTGGGGGAAAGATAAAGAAATCGAGCAAAAAAAAGGGGGGGGGGTAATCCAGTCAGGGAAAAAGAGAGTTATATTCGGAGTAGGCTTGAGGGGTTCGTTTTTTGTTTGTTGGTTAGTTTGTTTGTTTGTTTGTTTGTTGTTGTTTTATTTGTCTTTTTTTCCTTTCTTTTTCTTTTTTTTTTTGGGGGGGGGGTTAGTGGGGTAGCAGAGAGAAAGAACCAAATAAATGGAAACAAAATAATGGATTGTGGGAGTGTGACGACTGGACGGATGCTAGTTGGGTTTGTTAACGGCTTTCTCGTCTGTTTGTTTGTCTGGTTGGATGGATTTTTGTGTGGGGTTTTGTTTTGTTTTGTTTTGTTATTCTAGCGAAATAGAGTGAATCAATAAGGTGATGAGAATGTGAAAATGGAGTGACATTTAAAAAAGACACTAGCTGACAAATAAAAACATCTTTATGCTTTCGATTTTGGTGTCTATACTAAGCCACGAAGGTGACAACTGCAAAATCACGAAAATATTTTAAAATAACAACAATAAGCAGGATAACGTAAAAAAACCCAAAGACACCAGTATAAGCAAAAAACAAAAATGATACCGACAAAACACGAATAAAAGGGAAAAATAGTAAAATTATTATTTTTAAAAATAACCACCACCCCCCCCCTCCCAAAAAACCCCCCAACAAAAAAAACAACCCCAGAAAACTGATAGTATGTCAACTTTTAGAAAGTATGTGGAAAAGAAAGCAGGAGTAGAAAGAGACTGGATTTATTGAATATCATGATACAGATGCAGGGTGTACATTGCAGAAAGTTTCCTCAAATTATGGTTTTGATATATTTTGATACGTTTGAGGGTAGTCAGATTTTTTTCCAATATGGAGATGCAGAAGCCACCATTTCTTGTCACACTCAATTGATGAAATCCTTCAAAATTAAACACGTATTCTTTTCTAATAGTCCGGATCAGGCCGAATTAAATGAAAATAGCCAATCAAAAAGGCGACAACGCATTAGGGGGGAGAGGGGGGTGGAGGTGGTTGTGATAAATCTCATATATGGACTCTCACCAAATAAATTTTGATGGAACAAAGCTGAGGGCGGACAGGCATTTTCATGGTGAAAAAAAGCACTCTTTTCCTGTCTAAATTTGGTCATACTTGTCGCATTCTCGCTTTCAGTCGTTTCAAGTGGGCGGGTATTGTCATGGTGAAAAAGCACTCTTTCCACATCTAAATTTAGTCTGACTCGTCCAATTCTCGCTTTCAGTCGTGCCATTGTGGATGTACGTTGTCATGGTAAAAAAAAGCACGTTTTCCTTCTCCAAATTTGGCCTGTCTAATCTGTCTCGTCGAATTCTCGCGTTCAGTCGATATAGTGTGGGTTGGGGAGTGCCATTCCTCTAGAGATATTTAATTTATTGAGCGAACCTATTGCAATGAGCACTGGGAATACAGCTTTTCATGACTCACAATTTAAGTCGTTTTTCACAATCGGGACTGTTCCATGGGTGAAAATTCATTTTTGAAATAAATTAAAATGTAAAAAAAACAAACTCCGACGTTCTCAGGCTTCTGTGATACAGATTAAAGATTTGCACCTTACTCAAACAAATACTTTTGACACTTCTGGGACTTATATTGTGAGCAAAATTAATTACGACATAGACAGGATGTATGAAGAAATGCATACAACAAAACCCAAGTTGAAACGAGTAACATTTATAAAGATCCCATCTCAGTTCGCTACCCTAGAATTATAAAGTTCTGTTTGACATTTTTAACAATTTTAAGTTACTAAGACAATGAAGTCAGAAAGGGGGCTCTCGTGGCCTAGAGGTTAAGGTGTTGGCCTCTCATTCAAAGGTCCCGGTTCGAATCCGGGTAGCGACCAAAAATTTTTCTTCACTAAAATTGTCTCCTTTCACCCCCTTTCCTGCTCTCTAGCAATGTTCTGTTGTCTGCTTTCATTTCCACTTTCTGCCCCCACCCCCTCACCTCCTTTGCCCCCTCCTCCGGGCTCCTGACTCTTTCCGCAGCCTTTCTACTGCTACTCCTAGGCTCCTCCTTACTGCTGTCTTTCTGCCACACCTCTGATCTTCTGGTAGGAAAGATCTACACCTAGCCTTTTCGGACAAGGGCGAAAAATCTCGGAGGGCCAGTGTGCAAGTTGCGCACGTTAAAGATCCCTTGGTGGTCTAAAATCGATAAGAGTAGGCTTCGGCCGCCACCCGGGCAAAATTCAAAATTTCCTACCAACTGAAAATATTAGATGTGTCCCGCGCGCTCATATGACCTTATGCAGTTGCGAGCGCCGTAAAACACTTTACAAATACAAAAACGAAGTCAGAAACCAAATGTTCTACCTGCTATTTCAAAATCGTAAGATTTTTTTGTGCAGTCGTTATCATCATATTATCATAATAATATAGTGTGAAGCGCATAGAGCCTGCTGTTGAGCGGGGATTTGCGCTATACAAATGCTATCTATTATTATTATTATTATTATTATTATTATTATTATTATTATTATTATTATTA